CGTGTTATACGCCGATAAATACGGTATATACATACATATACATACACATACGTACATACATACATACATACACACACACACACACACACACACACACATACATACACATACACTGCTCAAAAAAATAAAGGGAACACTTAAGCAACACAATGTAACTCCAAGTCAATCACACTTCTGTGAAATCAAACTGTCCACTTAGGTAGCAACACTGATTGACAATCAATTTCACACGCTGTTGTGCAAATGGAATAGACAACAGGTGGAAAGCATAGGCAGTTAGCAAGACACCCCCAATAAAGGAGTGGTTCTGCAGGTGGTGACCACAGACCACTTCTCGGTTCCTATGCTTTCTGGCTGATGGTTTGGTCACTTTTGAATGCTGGCAGTGCTTTCACTCTAGTGAAAGGTAGCGCAGCTCATCCAGGATGGCACATCAATGTGAGCTGTGGCAAGAAGGTTTGCTGTGTCTGTCAGCGTAGTGTCCAGAGCATGGAAGCGCTACCAGGAGACAGGCCAGTGCATCAGGAGATGTGAAGGAGGCCGTAGGAGGGCAACAACCCAGGATCAGGACCGCTACGTCTGCCTTTGTGCAAGGAGGGATAGGAGGAGCACTGCCAAAGCCCTGCAAAATGACCTCCAGCGGGCCATATATGTGCATGTGGCTGCTCAAACGGTCAGAAGCAGACTCCATGAGGGTGGTATGAGGGCCCGACGTCCACAGGTGGGGGTTGTGCTTACAGCCCAACACCGTGCAGGACATTTGGCATTTGCCAGAGAACACCAAGATTGGCAAATTATCCACTGGCGCCCTGTGCTCTTCACAGATGAAAGCAGGCTCACACTGAGCACATGTGACAGACGTGACAGGGTCTGGAGATGCCGTGGAGAACGTTCTGCTGCTTGCAACATCCTCCAGCATGACCAGTTTGGCAGTGGGTCAGTAATGGTGTGGGGTGGCATTTCTTTAGGGGGCCGCACAGCCCTCCATGTGCTCGCCAGAGGTAGCCTGACTGCCATTAGGTAATGAGATGAGATCCTCAGACCCCTTGTGAGACCATATGCTGGTGCGGTTGTCCCTGGGTTCCTCCTAATGCAAGACAATGCTAGACCTCATGTTGCTGGAGTGTGTCAGCAGTTCCTGCAAGATGAAGGCATTGATGCTATGGACTGGCCCGCCCATTTCCCAGACCTGAATCCAATTGAGCACATCTGGGACATCATGTCTCGCTCCATCCACCAACGCCACATTGCACCACAGACTGTCCAGGAGTTGGGGATGCTTTAGTCCAGGTGTGGGAGTAGGTCCCTCAGGAGACCATCCGCCACCTCACCAGGAGCATGCCCAGGCATTGTAGGGAGGTCATACAGGCCTATTTGTGCCCAGGTGTTTGTCTGGCTTGTGGTGTGGAGATTTTTTTTGTTTGAGAGTGCAGGCTTCCAGATAATTGACAGTCTGGTAGAGTCATCTCTTCTATTAATGCTTTCAGATCTTTTTTCAACCTCTATGGCTTCTCTGATAATTCTGTAGCTGGGATTTTCTATAGTGGCTAGGGTTTTGATGCCATTGAAGTTGATGCTATGACCTGTGGCTTTCATGTGTTGGAATAGTGAAGAAGTATGTTCCAGCTTTTTTACTGCATTTTTGTGTTCATCTAGACGGGTACTTATTCTTCTATTGGTCTGTCCAATGTATGTGGCAGGGCATGATGCACAGGGGACTTCATATATGCCTTGGTTTTCCAGGTCAGTTTTATCTTTGGGACTTCTTAGGATGGCTGCTATTTTTCTGTCTGTTTTGAAGGCAGTCTTGATGTGCAAAATGACCTCAGAATCTCATTCTCAGATGAGATTCTGCCAAAACGTCGCTAAAATAAAAGCACAAATATTAAGACGTGGGAAAATACCCGAAGAAACCTAAATACCATACATATAAATACCCACAAAAACATAAGAAAACTGAGAGAGAGAGAGAGAAAATGAGCATAAAAATCGTTTTAACAAAGAATTTCACTACATTTTCTTATCAGAACATGATAAGAAAAAGAGTGGTCCTGCCAATTCTTACTCTGCTGTATTAAGAAAACTTAACCTAGTTTTTTTAACAAAATAGGCATTAATTCCTTTGGCAATTCAAATCCTTCTCAATTTAGTAGAACTGCCTTGGGCCTGTCTTGTGAACACAGCAAAGATTCACCAGATAACTTGATAACTGTTTGAAAAGAATGAAATAGAAATAAGAAGATTGAAATTGGCCCGTGCATTGCAATAACCTGATACCCAGATGTAGCCAGTCAGAATTGGACCTTGCTGAAGGACCAGTACATGCCTGGTTTTATTTTGAAAGAATGAAGTGGTGGAAAGAATGAATGAGAAGTTAATGGCCATTGACTGAATTTCAGAACAATATCTAATAGGAAATTAAAACACAACAGAGTTTCTTATTTCTTGCCTGATTCATACAAATCTAAAGCAGCACGGGGCAGGAGCATTTTAATTAATTACTCCTATTGTAATGAAGACATATAGCTCACAATTAAGTTGCTTAGATCATTTCACAGAGGCACATGGGGCCCTGGCTACCATTTCTGTGCTGATGAAAATAAAATGTCATTTGTAAGTATTTATTGCACCTCGAACATGTTTTGTGATTGCCAGTTTTATTCATGGCATGGTTTTCTGCTTCTCTTTACAGGTACCATACCAGATATCCTATCGATTCTGTGAGACCCATTTACAAAAAAGGGAGAAAATGGTGCAAAGTTCCTATGCCTATATCTCATCCAGTACTTAAAGATAATGTTACTTATGGATCAAAGCCCCTTCGTTTTAACCACTGAAGAAACCATCCTGTGTGCATCATAGATGTGTTGTAGATTCTGGAAGAAACAAACTGATTGCAGTTGATTATGTTGTTTTGCTGGAGCCTGGGAAGGCTAGTTGAACAACCAATTCGTCGCCTCTATGGAGGCATATCTTATTTTTGTGTATATTCCAATTAAACTCTTGAGATGAATTTTGTGTCATGACCTTTTTTCAATAGCCTGTACGCTTTGCATCCTATACTACCCTAAACTAATTGCTAAAGAATACAATCATATAATGTAAGATTTGGAAGAGTACTTTTAAAAAAAATCATATAGTCCAGATCCCTGCCCATTACAAGAATCACCAGTGGTTAAATATCTCCAGAAAATGTTCACTATCTCCTAAGGTAATCTATTGCTGAGTGGCATAACAGTAAGTTTTCCTGTACAATTTGATTCCTTGTAATTTAAGTCATTGTTTTTCATCCTATCAAGATTTCCCTTCCTTACAGTTCCTTTATTATCTGGTTACTGTCCTATGGACATACTCTACTTTGTCATTCCTAAAATATACATCAAAAATTGGATGCAATATCTTCTCTGTGGTCTGACATCCGTTTTGACTCTGTTTTTGTGATTGCATTTGATTTTTTTTGTAACTATTCTGCAGGACTCCCAGATTCGTCTTGCACATACTCCTGCCCAGTATGCTTTCCCATCCCCAATGCTATATTCATGTGTTTGATTTGTTGCATGTACATGCCCTATTGTAAATGTCTGGAAATTCCCAGTCACCCAGGTCATGGCTGTCCCAAAAGTGCTTTTTCAAAAAGCAACTGGACTTTCTTAGTTTTTCCTTGAAGATGTTTCGCTTCTCATCCAGGAAGCTTCTTCAATTCTGACTGAATGGTGGAGGATGGAAGGATTTATATTCCTTGTAGTTACCGGGTCGTTGACACTCTTAAGAGTCATTGAGGCCATTTGGAGGTTTATCTGTGCCCTCAGGGTCACCCGAATAGTGCAAATGGGTGTGGAACGACTCTACTCTCAAAAAGAGTGCTAACTGAACATGTTTTTAAAATAGGGATCACAAGGAAGTAGACTGATTTCACACTGATTTATTGAATCAAAAATATAGATGTTATAAGTACAAAATAATTGCAATGTTAGGACATAACGTCCTTAATTTTCTTGTGTTTGTGATCTTCACAACATGAAGGGTAAGTCTGTGTTCTTCTCTCCGTTGCCAAAATAGATATAACCATGCTGTTTAGTATTAGGAACATGGTAGAATGTGAGTCCAGGCCAGAGTAGACTTCGCAGCACTACTATTCTGCTTCCTCTCTCTACTTGGATGCTCCAGGACCCTATAAAAAAAAAACAAATGTTTAAAAATATCACCATATACGATGAGAGCAGATACTTTAACAGAAAAACAGCAATAGACAATTAGTAGCAGCAAACACGTATACTTTGTTCCACACAATCTATGAACAGTAATTTCTTGGGAAACCACAGTAATCTTTCCTGTATAAAATGCAACATCTCACCATCATTCCTATGTGTTGTTCACATATTGGAAATGGAAAAAAAATACAATATTCTTGTGTCATCTTCATGCAGTTCTTCCCATTAGATTTAAGGTTTTAAAAATATGTATATACAAATTATACCATATTCATCTAGCTAAAATAAATCTAGTAATATCTATAAAAGTCTCCCCTACTCCAGCAGTAATAATTTGCCTCTGTGGATATTTTGCACTCGTTTCATTATGCAAAATTAGTCATCTTCTAATAATGGCAATCCCTTCTTAAATTTGTAGCAAGGTGTAAGGAAGAGAGAAGTGCTCTTTCCCCCCTAAAGCAAGAATTCATATGTATTGAATATCATAGTACTGTGTTTTGAATTGTGATGAGGTATTATTCTAAGGATAAAATTAGTGCTTTAGTTCCCGAAAAGAAAAAGACACTGCAGAGAGAGTCACAAAGCCTCCTTTAGTTTATAGAACAATTCCTTTTCCTTGGTGTCTTATGTGGTTCCAACTTTGAAGAAAAGGAGTATTAAGGTAGTAAAAGGATTAGTTTCAATGTTAATTATGCTTTGGTGATGCCAAGAATATTAAAGTATAATTCAAACCTAGACTGATCAATGGGTTCTGAACTAATAACCAAAGAACTATGGGAGTGAAAAAAGGAGTGTTACAGTGGATATGCTTCATCCAAAGAAACTTGACAAGATTGGAGAATAATTCCAATAAATATTAAAGAGAAATATTCACAAATGGAAATGTTCAATTTTCTAGCTCCTAGAAAAAATGTAGATATCTTAATACAATGCTATTCTTGTGGCAAATTCTCTGATTTCTGAATTCCATATCAAAATGAGTGTTCAAGAATCTATATTAGATACCACAATACTGAATACATAAATAATACTGATCCCTATACTGTAACTCTGGTGTTAAGATAATAATTTACTCAATGATGCTCTTTTGAATACTTCAATGACACACACTATTATTTTCTGAAAGTTGAGCTGACCACTCCCTCCAATTCAACCTACAATAATGATCTGTGTCTTTCCCCCATCCCATTTAATTTCCACCACATACTCTCCTTGGGATATCCTCTTTGGGAGTGCCATTAAAGGCCATTCACAAATTACAGCTGGTGAATAGAGCAGCTGCTTCCTTTATAAGAAGAAAACTACATAACAAGCACAACTTTTTTACCCATTTCCTGCCAAACAAATGTCAGATCCGCTATTTCTCCTTTCTTAAACTTGAAGTAGCAAAATCAAAGCCTCACCTAATCCAAGACTGAGCACTACCTTTTTTGTTAACAATCAACACAAATAATTTACATAATCAAGTTCAAGGCGGAATGTAATGAAATTTTAACTATTAAGTATTTTATCAAGTAAGGAGATACGGTTTCTTTAAAGTTTCCTTTAAAAGATCGGTCATTCAATTTAAATTCAAATTGTCTACAGAGAAAGGTAATTTTCATAGGTATTTTTAAAGATAGCTGCCATGGTGCTTTTAATTGTTGCCAGCATCTAACCATGATCAGGAAGCAAATGACAAGAAGCATTACAGGAGGAAAAACTTTTTCAGAACATTGACAAATCATGACTGAAAACAAAACAAATACTCTGATCTATGAAGGCTATAAATCTTGCTAAAACCTGGTTTTTGCCACATAGAATACTCTTGTGTAAAGGGCTGTTATTGTTGCTGCTCTTTAATCCAACTGTTTTGTTTCAGTATATGATATGTAAGCCATCCAAATGTCAAATTTATCACATGCAGAATAAAGATTTATAGTATTCATTTTATAGTTTTTTCAATACTCAGAAATTCTCAGAGGGAGAGAAAATCCTTTAAAATGTGTTGAATCATGAGCATGATTACTTTGTGTGATCTTTCAGCCGTTTTTAATACCAACAACAACAAGCTGCATCAGTTCTGCAGGTTTGGAAATGGGAGGTTGAGGTGATCCTCCTCCTTTCACTGTGACTGATTCCAGGCGGTGCTAGTGGGGAAGGGGCAGTCAAGCCATAGGCCCCTGCAGTGCGGGGTGTCTCAGGGCTTGGGTCTCTCCCCTCTCAACATCTACATGAAGCCGCTGATTAACTGTCTTTGGCTCAATCCTGACAAGAAGGGAAGGGCTCTGGGTTTTTGGCCCCAGGGTCTGGTGACTTGTCATCTTTGATTCTGGATGGGGTTGCACTGATGCACTAATCTGCAGGTCTTCTATTCCAGCTGTACTGGGAGGCCCCACTCATGGTCATTCATGCCTTAGTCACCTCCCAATTGGATTATTGCAATGTGTTTTACATGGGCTGGCCTTGAAGACCTCTCAGAAATTGTAACTGGTCCAGAATGCAGCTGCAGCACACATAGTATTAGGTGCCCATTGGTTCATCCATGTTACACCTCTATTGCAAAAGCTGAACTGGCTACCGGTTCTCTTCTGGATGTAATTCAGGGTGCTAGTTATCACCTTTAAAGGACCTGGTTATTTGCAGGGCTGGCTTTTCCTGAGAATATCTGTCTGTCCCACTAGAACTGAGAGGGATGAGAGAAACTGACTGGCTCAAGATCACCCAGCTAGCTCTGTGCCTAAGGTGAGACTAGAATTCACAGTCTCCCAGTTTCTAGCCTGATGCCTTAACCACTAACAACAAACTTGCTTTCCTTGTACTGTGGCAAATGTTAATCTCTGCTAACCTCTTTTAATTACTAGCTTAATTAATTGGACAAGTCTGATATGTTTATAAGTAAAACGGGCACTTCCTAGCTCTATTGTCAGTACTGAAGTATTTATCTTCGGTGGATAGAGGGAAGCAGTAGTAAGTAAGACAAATCTTCAAGTAGCCGACAGGACACCCCAGCTGCATTATGTCAGCTATGTTGAAGATCAAGTGTATAATACCGGTATATTCATGAAAAAGGCTTTGCAGAGTTACTTCTTAAATATTGTTAAAATAATAAAAGAAAATTTGCTTTTCAAGCTGCACTTGGCAGAGATACCCAAACTTAGTGTTGCCTCAATTTTTTTTTTTTTTAAATGGCCTGACTGAGCTCCAAAAGGGGAAAGAGGTGTGGGAGGAAAGAGCCTGGGAAAATTATCCTTTGGATGAAGATTGTGAACTTCCGATTCCCTCTCTGGAGCAGGCCACAGTCGACCCTGCCAAATATGGGTGGGAATGCTAGGGAGGTGCCTACAATTTTGTAAACGAGACATTGCTTGGAATGTTATTTTGCTCAACCAACCACTGCCTTTTTTGATGGAACATCTGTCAGAAACCATCTACCTCCCTCTCAGCTTCTGCTTTTTGTCTAGTCTGTCACCAAATTTGTATCTATCTCACCCTAATATCTGCCTGGTCTTCGGCCTGAAACATCTACTGTAATTTAGTTATGGGGATTATTTTAAAAACTAATGTTAAACTGGGAACCTCTTGAAACAACCGAGAGCTGATCCACTTCAAATCCACTCTTCCATAACACTGCTGCTTTGGATGTATTTCAAAGTTTATGTTCTGGTGTGGTGCCTGGCAGGAAAGCAAGTAAGTCATCATTTAGTAAAATTTGACAGTCCCAAAAGGTAGTATCAGGATAATAAAAAAAGAACACCTGACTCAGAAGTTATTACAATTAAGAGAGTAGCAGAATTATACTAACGCACATTTATGATGCATATAAAATTGGCTAAGTTCATAGACACTTGTGTCTTTTTTTTTTTTGAAACAAATTTTATTAATTTTTTAAAGACAAACAAAATATCATTAAACCTTGTAGACATTAAACCTCTTTCCATTATAAATTTTTACAAGGCAGATAAAACATTGTTTTATACAATACGATTCTAATATATCCCATTTCCACTTAAATATCTTTTAGCAAATTTCTCATTACCTCTCTTTACACTTAGTCATCCTATTCATATTTCCCTCTGTCTTGTTTGCAATTATTCTCCTCTTGCTTTCCTCCAAGGTTTTATTAAATCTCAAGTAGACATACACACACAAAACACAAAAAAATAAAACTACTTCTTCAAAAAAGTAGCTTGGTCCCGGATTACCTCTCTTTGTATGGACTTCAATTAAATTCATGTTCATCTTATATGCCATTACCTATCTTGTTTACCATTCTATATCTTCCTTATAACTTCTCCCCGCTTTCCACTCTTCTTAATTCTATTTTATATATTACATCTCAGTTTAAATCATTATATTTGTATCTTTTGTCCATTCCTTTCCAATTATCTATTTATCTCATTCCCTATAGTAAGAAGAAAAAAAAAGATTTCTCCTGAAATCACTTATCGAAGTATGATGCCTTTCCATCGCACCCCTTAAATTAACATTTAAGGTAACACCTAGTTCCCTATCTGATTCTGCTTAGTACATACTACTTAGAGAAAGAAAATAATAAATCCACAAAGTAATTAAATATATAATTAAACATTAAATCTCATAACATTCCAATTATCTATCTCAAAAACAAATACTACAATAATATATTCATACTAACATCCACACAAAAATCAATTGAACTCTATACTTAAACTAAATATTTTAAACATCCCTTTTAATATTTTATTAAGTTATTAAACCTTTAATGTTTTAATCTTTACTCAAGTCTTATAAGATTCTAATTTTCTATTTTTAATACAGATACTACAATACTATCTTGTGTACCTTGCAGAATCCTAAAACAAAGTTATATTACCCTTTATCCCTAAAAAAAAATTTCTTTTGCACATCTTGTTTCATACCTTTATGGCTTTTTCCCCCCTTCTTCCTCCCTATCTTATCCCATCTGGTCTTTTTACCCCCCTTAACTTCCCCTCTCTGT